CTATTTGATAGTGGTTGTTGTCAGTTCGTTGGGAGTCGCACTGTTTGTAGTATTGGTATGACTGTCTGAAAGAACAGGCAGGCAACGTACTTGTGCGTGAACGAATCAAACACTGATCATTTGAAATTCAATTTTGATTCTCCTGGATTTAGTCCGCTGACAAGATAAATTTAAAGGCACATTTCACATAAATGAATTCTGAGGTGTTGATCTCGTTACAGTGGAAACATTGAATTTGAAAGGGCTCTTGTTGATCCCTCGTCGCGAGGCTATAACGGATAGATCCTGAGCGCCAATAGGTTCGAAAGGGTGCGCTTGGCGGGGCCAAACACATGTGCACAACAGATGAGGATAAAACAGACAAAACACTTTCTGAAAAGTTTTTTTTATTTAGATTTCATGTTTTCCTTACGGGCGTAAGACGTGCTCATTATGTACAGTAGCTAAAACTAAGTTACAAAAATAATATAGAATACTGCTAACAAAATTATTATTCGATATCGTTCAAATCACGTCCATTGATGCTTTACACTCATATAGTTTTAAATGGTTTAATTGTTCCTTTGGTTCATAAATTCAAGAACTACTCTAGAGATGGTAGTTAGGTAGTACCTCTGCAGAGTCAGACTCAGACTATACATAAAATTTGTCCAGGCACACATATCTTGGGCTGGCAACACTTAAAAATAAGTATAACACATTAATGTCATATTAAGACTGAAAAGAAGCAAAACAATTCTGAAGCACGGCCTGAAACAATTTATTTTGTGTATGTTACTTCTTGGCCACCATCAAATGTAAATACCTATTTGATAAAGAATTTCGTTCGAGACACAAGGCCATATTTATGATGATGTCTTGCAGTTGAAGCCAATCATATGATTTGCATATGTTCACATTTTCTAATTAGTAAAACATAAGCAGAATGTGTGTCTTGAACAAAATCTATCAAACTAACCACAACCAAGAGGTGGAAAATTTTGTACAAATAAATCGGTAAAATACAAACACCGATAACTTAAAACTATAGCACATACAATAGATATATCCCTAGTCTGGGGACATGGTTAATCACAGTTTCACAGTTCAAAACGTTTTCATAGCAGTGACATATTAGACACCTTGCATATTAGGGATAGGATAGAGACTGATTAGCAGTCATTCACATACTTAAAAAACAATCAGCCAGTATTATTATTTTCACCAATAATACTCCCCGTCACATTTGATAAAAGCGCAACAAGTTTCAAAACGCACCAAGATTTCTAAAAAATCAGGAAATTGGTACATAGGACAAACATTTTTCGGCTCACTCGTTGCTTGAAAAAGGATTCATAATTTTTGGCATTACAAAGTCACTTAATGAACTAATTAACAGATTCTCTCAGAGGAGAGGTGGTGACATAACATCCTTCAACTTAAGGGCGGCCAACAACGACTTTTCCCTGCACAATGTCTGGAATAGAGTTCTGGTGAGCACACTTTGGGATGATCTTGGGGTCGTGCCTCACGGTAGCAGCCTCGGGTTGAACCTGCCCATGTGCAGAAGCACCCCTGTGGGGTTGTGCCTCACAAAGAACAAGAATGGCCGGTCGAAGCGGAGCCGTGCTGCCTCGGGGATCCTGGCCTGTCTAGGCCGGAGCGCCAGCGGCACCTTCATCAGGTCGGGATCCTCGAAGTCTGCGATCCTCTGGAATGTCCGCGCCTCTCGACTCGACGACGATATGGAGGAGGAAGATGAGGCATCCTCAGACGCCATCACCTCCTCCGAGGAAGTTAACCCCGAGGAGCCCCTAGCCTCGGCAGCCTCCAGGGCGTCGCCTACCCGAGCATAGTACGAGTCCCTGCGACAGAAAAGGGTTGAAGTTTTGGAATCCAATTCGAGGTCGACGTCGTGGGGACACTCTGACGCGATAAGGCCTACCTGTCCTTGCCCACGTTGTCCGGGTGCACCTCGATGCGAGGGTCGTCCGTCTCGGCCACCTTGGGTCGCAGCCGACGGCCGCGCGCCGCCCGCCGGCCCGGCGAGGCCAACGGGGACGTCGGGAAGAACTCAACGTGGTGCCTGGAGTCCACGGCGCGCTCGCCGCACGTGCTGAACGTGTTGAGCTGTGGCAGAACGGTCGGTACCGTTAAAGCGGCTGGGAGTACTGGAAGGGAAGGCCGACAAAAAATGGTGCGGTACGTGAAGGGGGGGGGGGCTATTTTTCTAAGCAGTCTTGTAAAGTCGTATTATGGTGGTCCTAGATGTCGCCTCCTGCTCCCTTTCACCACTGCCTGGCCCTTTCCTGGACAAGAGAGACGACGACGCCTTCTCGGCGTGGCGTGGAGGAGCAGGTCGTGTCGTCGGGGCGCGGGCGAGGCGGGGCGAGGTGAGGCGGGGCTTGGTGTACCGTCCCTGTGGGTCACTGGGGCAGGGCCCAACTCGCCCGGCATGGCGACTTTGACCGTCGCGCAGTGCCGCGCCCCAGCCGCTTTTGTCACCTTTTTTCTCTCTCTCACGCGGCGCAGCGTATCCACGAATGGTAAACTACGGTGGCACGACCTGGCCTCCGGAGCGCACCGCCTCGACGCGGGCATCTCAGCACAGAACGGTCCCCGGCCCCATCGCCAGAAAATGTGCTCCACATAAGAAAGTGCCGCGCCCGTCAACGCGGAACCCACCCTTACGCTGGTGACCTACCTGGACGACGTCGGACAGGTGGAGATCGTTGGCCACGCCGTTGAGGCCCCGCAGGTCGGCGTGCTCCGAGGAGAAGAGCTCGTCCAGGCCCATGCGCTGCAGGGCCTCGCTCATGTTGAGGACGGAGCGGTGGCTGAACCGCGGCACCTGCAGCTCCAGGCCGGGCCTGGGCAGGAGCGTCCGCAGCAGGCGCGCCCACCGCGCGCTGGGCCCGCGGGACTCCAGCAGCCGCTGCTCCAGCCTGGACAGGCCGTCACCGGGGGCCACGTGCCCCTGCTGGCCGGGCAGCACCAGCACCGTGCTGAACGTGGCTGCAGGGACACCGACGGTCAGCAGAAGTCTTAACCGAGGCTGCGACATTGACGCTGATACTTACCATCGGCCGGGCCCACGGCGACCGCGGTGGCGTCCAGGGCCGGGTCGTAGCCGGCCAGGAAGCCCGACCTCCAGACGGCGGCCGGCACGGGGACGAGGCGGCGTTGGCGCGAGGACGGCACCACCACGAAGTGCATCTCGCCGTCGCGGCCCTCGGTCGACGCCCCGGTGCAGTCCGTCTGCGACAAAGATGAGAGTCGTGTAGTGGTGGTGGCCGTGTGGAGTTGCAGAGCACCCGCCCGACACAGCTGTTGCGTGGGTCGCGCTCCGCTAAGAACCGCTCAGGTAACTGTTTAAGGGTGTAACGCACTTGACTTTGCAGAGTCACAGAATAGTCTTGAACCTAGCGCGCCGGTTTCGGCGCCTGAGCGTCGAGCGTCGACCTAGAGAAGGTAATTATGCACGACGCCCCATTCTGCCCGTTTTGGCGCCGGATATGAAACGTTAATTAAAGACGATACGACGCTTCTCTGGCCGTAGTGAGGAGTGATACCCCCGCCCCTACTCCCCGCAGCAATGATAGCGCCACATCCGCTGGCACATTGGCCTCGAGACCTCTCGGAGCGGGTCCTGAACGGGACGACGTTCTGGACGCTGTATGAGAGGACGGCGTTGACTCACCCCTTTGCATTGTGGAGAGAAATATTTAAGGTTTCCCATTTCCAGCGCGGGTGGAGTAATGGAAAGGGAACGATAAAACATGTTTATAACCAGAGTATATCATTTCTGTCGTAATTGTTAATACTTTTTTGTTTTTGTTTAGTTTGTCTTCACAGGCAAGCATCTACAC